AGTCAGCACAAGGCACCAGGGTGCCATGGTGGATACAAGGGTTTGGAAAGGGGTTTGCCATTTGCCAGCTATTTGACCTTGGCTAAGTTACTTGGGCTCTTTGTGCCCTGGTTACTTCTCCTGCAAATGGGGAATGCTAACAATTCCCACCTTAAAGAGATGTACCGTAAAAGTAGACAATTTGTCAAGCAGTGGGATTGGCATATTGCAGAGACTCCATAGATCCATATGGAGCAAAATGAATGCAGACAGCATCTGAGTTTGATTCCTCTGCAGGACTGGGTACCAGAAGCCATCAGAATCAACCTTAACCCCGTCTATATGATTTTATTCCTTACGTATATGAAACTGTTTTGCTTTCCACCAAAATGTATTGGCAGCAGCTACAGCAGGTGGAAAATTTTTAATTTAATTTTTTTTTTTTGCAGTGCTAAGGATCAAACCCAGGGCCTCTCAAATGCTAGGCAAGTGCTCTACCACTAACTCCAACCCCAGTTCCAGAAGAGAAATATTTAAAAGGAATTGAACTTGTCCACACCAGGATCTTATGCTAACCTCAAACTCAGAACAGCACTCAGTACTTTATATTATTTTACCAAGTCCTCAAAACCCTAAAAGGCACACACAGATGAGGAAACTGAGACACAAAAAGGATGAGGAACTTGGTACCCAAACCCAGTTCTGACGGATACCTTACCTATCAAACCTTATACCTGTCTCAGAAGAGCAGAGAGGGAAACGCTGGGTTGTGCAAAGAATGCCCACACATTTAGGATAAAACTCTATGGTGGTTGGGCTCAGGGGCGCATCCCTGTAATCTCAGCAACTTGGGAGGAGGCTGAGATAGGAGGATCACAATTTTGAGGCCAAGCCTCAGCAACTTAGCGAGACCCTGTCTCAAAATAAAAACTAAAATGAGCTGGGGATGTGGCAGAATTGTTAAGCACCCCTAGATTCAACCCCTGGAAACAACCATAACAACAACAACAACAAAACCCCCCAAAGCCCCCAAAAGTCTTTATGTTATTTGTAAAGACTTCTTAATAATATTTTTTGGTTTATTGACATAGAGATGACTGTCATCAGGATTCAACCTGCTCCTGACCACTGACTTCCACTCTATCAGCTGGCTTCAGATCCTTCCTTCCACACCCCTTCATCCCTAATACTCTTCCTTTTTCTGCACATGCACAGCTTATCCCTGAGGATGAGGAAAAGAAGGATAAAGCAGGATGTAGCAGGATGCGGGCCTTCCTTCTGCAAGATCAAAAATATGCTTTCCAAGAAATTCTTACCGACTTGCCCCTAATGAGGCTCTGAGCTTATAATTCAGCTGCCTGAGACAGCGGTCTCATTAAGAAGTGCAGGCGGAAGCCACTCAGAATATTCACAGCCCACCGAACCTGGCGGCCCTCTCACCTTGGTGAGGGCATGGCCAGGGAAACTAGTCAGGACCTTTTAGAACAGAGCCCGAGTGGGAGTCCTTGACAGGTTAAGGGCAGGGCTGCCCTTGATTCTACCTTCAAATTCCTCTTAAATGAGAAGGTCCACTTCTTCCATCTCCACTGCTACCATTCCAAGTCCCCCACAACTGGTCCACACTCTGAGTGGACCCTGCTTCCACACTTCCCAGGGAATCTCTTCCCCCARCACCCAGAATGACCTTGGAAAAATACCAATCAGATCATGTCAACACCTTGCTAAACTCTCCGACTCACACTAAGAATAAAAGCCCAGGCTGGGGGACTGGGGTTGTGGCTCAGTGGTAGAGCACTTGCCTCGCATGTGTGAGGCACAGGGTTGGATCCTCAGCGTCACATAAAAAAATAAATAAATAAAATAAAGGTCTTGTGCCCATCTACAACTGTGTGTGTGTGTGTGTGTGTGTGTGTGTGTGTGTGTGTGTGTGTGTATAAAATCCCCAGGCTGGGGTTGTGGCTCAGTGGTAGAGCGTCTGCCTAACATGTGTGAAGCACTAAGTTCGATTCTTAGCACTGCATGTAAATAAATAAATTAAATAAAGGTCCATTGGCAACTAAAAATATATATTTAAAAAAATAAAATCTCAACTCCCAGACTTTACAGGCTGGAGTGACCAGAGACAAGGCACTAAGAGCATAAGCATTCAGTGACTATCCTTGGGGTTAATGGCATAAGGCAGCCTCGGTTCAAATCCTGTTTAGCTGCTTATCATTTGTGTAAGTTTGAGCAGGTTACGTAAACCTCTCTAAGCCTTGGTTTCTTCATTCACGAACTAGCCATATTGTAAATACCTGTTCCACAGAGTTGTTGTCAGGAGGCACAGGCATGGTGCCTGTGAAAAGCACTCTGAACACTCCCACGACATTAGCTGATAAGGTGGACCATAACCATGGATAGGATAACTAACTTAAATATCCARGGTCTACTCTTCAACAATAAGCATCTCATATACACTTCTCTGACCAGTCCTGCTAAATACGTCAGAAATGTCCTGGCAGAAGTCAAGCAAACAATTAAGCCAATAAAATCCTTAAAYCATGGAATTAATAGCTAGAAAACATCCAGAATTCTCTGGTAGGGCTGTCTGAGGTATCACAATTAGATGGGACATTGAGAAAAGCTCTTAGTTTAGGAGCATGCCCATCAACTGCCATCTGCCGTTGTTCTGAATTGTGGATGAGAAAGAATAGAAAAGACCAAACACTGAAGAACTTTCTTATCCTTTGAAGGCCCACTCCTTCTTCAGAGAATGACTTACACCTATAATTTTCCTGATTTAAAATTGCCCAGTCCCTTCAGAGTGGTGGCACCCATGTTGCTCAGGGAAGTCATACTTTTTTTTTTTTTTAAGGTAACAATTGTTATAATAAAGGAAATTCTATAAAACCAAACACCTATTGGTCTTTCACGGTCAAGAGCTCCTCATATACCTTTTATTTATATTTATTTTGTGGGGATGGATACCGGGGATTGAACTCAGGGGSCACTCGACCACTGAGCCACATCCCCAGCCCTATTCTGTATTTTATTTAGAGACAGGGTCTCACTGAGATGCTTAGTGCCTTGCGGTGGCTGAGGCTGGCTTTGAACTCGTGATCCTCCTGCCTCAGCCTCCTGAGCTGCTGGGATTATAGGTGTGTGCCATTGTGCCCAGTTCCTCATATACCTTTTAAATACCTGCAGATGGCTTCCCTGTCCCCCAGTGAGCAGGTTCTCCTACAGGTCCTCAACCCTTCCTCACCTCACACAGTTTCTAGATCCTGTCATTCTGATCCCTTTTTTTCTGAGCATGCTGGGCTTGTGACTATCCCTCTTAAAAGGGAACCCCCCCAAATAAACTCTATCATACAGGACTACTTAACAGAGTGAGATATCATCTCCCTCGTTTTGGAGATCATATTTCTATGAATAGAGTAAAAAAAAGCACATTTATTTCCCTGGAAGACACCCTTAATTGCTTCCTGTCAACTAAACCTTCTCAGGGCTTCTGGCACACACTTATTCTAAGCCACACCCTTATCAACATTTGTCTGCTTGGTCTCACCCACCTCTGAGCGGATCTTTCATGTGTTCCCTATGGATTTCACTTGATTGGCATCTTGTTAGTATTCCAACCTCTCAAATCATTTTCAACACRATTCTACCATCCATGAGCGAGTGTATAGTTTTGTATCACATAAGTATTGAATTACGAGGTCATCCTTAGCCTCATGCTGGTYACTGACAAAGCTGCTGAACAGGGTCCATGTCAACCAGACCTGCCTCCAGGCTCACAGGGACTCATTAACTACCACTCCTTGAGGTCTGGTCACTTCACTGATGTGGCAGATACTCTCTAGGGGACCCTCCAGTGACTCATGTCCTTGTATAATCCCTTTACCCGGAACATGGAACCTGAGACTTGCTTCTAAGCAACAGAATATGGCAAAGGTGATGGGCTGTCACTCCCTCAATGAAGCTAATTTATTTGAGGCTCCATCTTAGCAGAGTGGAGTAAGAGACTCCCTTGCTGGCCCTGAAGAACCTGTGATCTTATGAGACGGTCAGGTGGTCAGGAACTATGGGTGCTCCCTCCATGCTGAGGACAGTCCCCAGATGACAGAAAGAGGAAGCTCAGTCCTACTCCAGAAGATGAGTTATTCCAAAAACTGAAGGGAACGTGGAAATGGATCTCTCCCCAGTCCAGCTTCTGATGGAATCACAGCCCCTCAATTAACCAGGACTTTCAATTTATATGGATGACCTGGATGACAGTAAAACTCAGATTTTATATAGAAGTCACACCATTTCCATCCTCTGTGGTCTTACAGTTATTGCCATGGTCAACCATCTAACTGCTCATGATATTTAGAAACAGGAATCCTTTAATAGTAGCTGAGTGATCTGGAAAAATTAATCTTTCTTTCAGCGATGCTCCCTTTATATTGGCATTGCAATAGTTCCGGTACTGAGAAAAATCCAAATGGATCAATCTTTCATCAATAAATAATTGATGGAGTGTCTTTAGTTATGCTTCTTTTCTAGATGTGGGACTTAATTCCCCTTTCCCTGAGTGGTGGCTGAACCTATGACTTATTTCTAAAAAACAGAATATGTTAGAAGTGATAGTGTGTGGCTTCTGAGGCTTGGTTATAAACAGTATTGTGGCTTTCGTCTTGTTCTCCCTCTTGGATCACTTCCTCTAGAAGCAACCAGATGCCATGTTATGAAGATACTCGAGCACTTTCACACAGTGAGGAACTGAGGCCTCTTGTCAAAAGCCATGTGGATGACTCTGTTGGAAGCAGACCCTCCAGCCTCAGTCAAGCCTTCCAATGACTACAGACCTAGATGATATCTTGACCATGACCTCATGAAAGTTAGTCAGGGTCAACCTGCTAAGCTGTTCCTGAATTCCTTACCAAAGAAACTATGAGATAATAAATGCCTATTATTTTAAATTGCCAAATTTTAAGGTCATTTGTTATGCAGCAATAGGTTATACTCATACAAATCCAAATACAGCACTTGTAACTTACCTTGTAGTATTGTAAAATTCTTGATGAGCTGACCATGCTTGGAATCCACCAGCTTCATCTCTTCCATAATCACCGATAAGTTGGCCACTTCTGTATCTAACCTTGACCTCATCATATCTTGTTGCATCCTGAGGGAAACAGAATCCAAACGGATATTAGCCAGTGTGTTATTCAAGGAGGTCAAGTCATCCGTGTGTTTGGTTAGGGTATCGGTGCAAGTGGTCCTGACTTCATTCAGATTGCTGGTCAGCGTCCTCAGGTGGTGGGCCGTGTAGCTGATATTACTAATGATGTTCACAATATCTGTCTCAAAGAGCTGGAAGCGTTCTTCCAGTTGGCTGAACTTGATGGCTGTTCTGTTTTCTGCGTCCTTATGTAAGTCCTGAAGGTCTTTCAGGTTCTGCTCGTTGGCTTGTGAGATAGTGGTGATGTTGTCCATCTGACCTGTGAATGAGCTGAGCTGGCTGTTCATATCCTCCAGGGTGTCGTTGTTGGCTTTGGCCAAGGCAGAGTTGTTGGCAGCCAACGTCTGCAGGCTTTGTACTTTCTCCTTCAGCCAATCGGTGTCCTTCTTGGCTTGAAGGAAAACCTGCTGCAGATTTTGGAAGTCATTCTTGATTCGCTGGATAGCTTGGCTCGTGTCATCCACAGACCGCTGCAGATCACTGATGAGGTTCCTCTGCTGCACCTGGGTCAGGTTCAAGTTGTTGAGGTTCATAATGACCACGTTATGAGAATACATTTGATTCTGCAGATTGCCCTGGAGCACGCTGGTATCTTGTTGCAGATTGGTGACATAGCCATTATATGCCTGGAGGGTTTTGTTGACAGTGGTGATAAGGAAAGAATTATTTTCCAAAGTTTCTTTCAGTTGACTCTGCCTGTCCACCAGGGCATCCCCGCTGGCCTGTAGCTTCTCCAGCGTATCTTTGTTCTTGCTGGTTTTTTCTGTAATCTCATGAAGCTGTTGACGAAGATCCAGAATATCTGATCTGAAGGTGGAAAGTTCTGAGTTGGTGCTTAGAGCTTTCTTCCCAGTTTGGTCTCCTGGGAAAAGAAATATTTGCTTCTTAGACTGGCGGTATGAAGAAGTGTTTGGGCAAGGTCAGCGATCACATTGACACTTAACTAGTATGGATTGTTTTAGAGATAAAATTTATGGTCTACACAGACTTCTCTGCATTAGTAAAAATCCACATAAAACTGGGTCCTGGGGAATCAGAATTGGTGTTCAGCACTTCAACTGACAAAGTTGGGTGAATATTTTTCTCAAAGAGAGGAAGAATTGACCAGATTCTAGAACAATGGGCAGGGTATTCTTAGAAGAAAATAACCTTTTAAATTTACCAAAGTATTATTTTTAATTAAGCAAGCCCCAAATCAAGGAACAGAATAGATGGAACTATTTTATTTTTTTTAAATTAACTTTTATAATTCTATGCAGTTTAAAACTTACTGAGCATTTTATCCAAGAGTCTTTAACAAAGGGTATTTGTGGTTCATTTTAGTTAGATTGATCTTCAGGTTTAAATTGGCAAATAATAGTTCCAGGTTGGGGGGGGGGGCAGAATTCAACACCAAAATTGGTAATTTTCTCTACTATTGAAAGTCTTTGAATGAAATCAGATAGAAAACTCAACATATAACACAAAAAAACCTGAATGTCCATCTGGGAATTTTCTAGAAATGGAATTTTCTAGAAATTTCTAGGAAGTATCATTCTAAAAAGCTGCCATTATTTATATACAGTAGAGTGAGGGGGTGCCACTGGATGGGTCATGCTTTTTGCAGATTACCTAGTTTTTTCAGGTCACTTTCCACTGCAGTGAGCTTGTCGTCATAGGTTTGGCGAGACGTCTCCATGCCACCTGTGACATTGTCCATTTTCTCTACAACTAAGTTTTAGGAAACAATACATTAGTACACATACCCACTCATATTTATATTTTTAATTTCAAGATGAAAGATTCATTACAGAACAAAGGGAACAGAATGGGGGCAAAAGTATAATTGAAATCAAATATGGGGAAAGCTATGATTCTTTTATAAAATAAGTCCCTTATCAAAAAACCAAGTGGAATCGATCATTTGGTTGAAGACTGTACATTCTTAGCTATTATGATGATTCTGTAATAGTTTGGAGGCTTCAGAAATTAGAACTAGCTTTTAAAATTTTATATATTAAAGAAGTCTTTGATCCGTACTATTTCCTATGTTAATTGCTGTTTGACGCAGGCAGAGAACACTAAGATCATTTACAAAATCCATCGCTCACCAGCTGCCCTAAAATTCCTGGCAGGTGTGACTTACTTACCTAGGAAGAGATCCATTGGCAAAGAACCCCTAGATCAAGTCTGTATACAAAGTCATCTGAGAAGGGAAAAAATGTCAAGAGGACCTACTGCTTTCATATGGGAGGTACCCTGGAGGCCTGAAAATCTACTTTTCATTAGTGAAAATAAAAATTTGTAGTTTATCAGCCTCCATGTAGATGCCTGAGTAGTATTTCTAAACAATGGTTTACCACGATTTTAGTTTAGCTTTTTTTTTTTTTTTAATTTTCTTGATTGTACAACAGAGAAGGTTAGTGACACAGCATGAAATAAAAGCTTGGGTTTTTAATCTGTTCTTAGAAGGCAGTCATTCTCTAAAATTATGAATTCAAGTTTGTTTTTACGATGTCTCATAAGAAGATATTTCTTCAGAAGTGATCCCTGTGAGACTCAAACTCCAGCAGGTTAGGATCAAGTCACTCTGTCTCATCCCATCTGTCTGTGCGTCTGTCTATCTGAGATGGGGTCTCACTGTACTGTGCAGGATGATCCTGAGCTCCTGGGCTCAAGTGATCCTCCTGTCTCAGCCTCCAGGGTACCTGGAACTATGGGTGTGGGCCACCTTGCCCAGCCTTACTGTCCTCAGTCTCGACAAGTTTCTATTTAATAAAAAATTTCAAAGTTTTTAAAAGCATAAGTATGTCCCCTATACCAATTGTGAGCTAATTGATGCAGTTTATATTATTCATCAAGGGTTCTACCCACACATGATTGAATGGCTGGCTCCTTTCCCTAAGTTACCATGAGTGTATGGGACCCAAAGTGCACTAGCTCCATGAATCCTGGAATGGGTCTCAGGAAGCTCACGGTGCTCACCCTCAAGTATCTACAATGTGGCCATAATAATCCACGCATACTGCCCCCAGTGCTCTCTCTCATGAGCCTTTCAATGTGTTCTTCTCTCTTCTACAATGTTCTTCCCGACTTCTTTCACTATGTTATGTCCCCCTTGCTCCTCAGGCCCCAGCTCAGCACAGCCTTTGGGAAACCTCAGCTGAGCTGCATCTTGCAGAATTCTCCTGGCAAGCATCCCTTTCCCTATCACAGGACTCCCCATGCCGTATCCTCATGGCTTGCTTACTGGAGCCTTCTGGGCAGGAACATTGCACGGGTGCTCCTTGACTTACAATAGGATTATATCAGTATACCCACTGCTAGTTGAAAATATCGTAAGTTGAAAATGCACTGAATACCCYTGACCTACTGAGCATCCTAGGTTATCCAAGAGCACACTGAAGGGTGTAAGCTGCTTCCCCGCTGTGATTTCAGCTAACTGGGAGCTACTACTGATCAGCATCACAAGAGCATCTTACTATATATTGCTAGGCCAGAAAAGAGCAAAATTCAAAATTCAAAGTATGTTTCCTAGTGAATGTGTATTGTTTTCACACCATCCTAAAGTCCAAAAACCCTAAGTTGAACCATCATAACTTAGGGACCATCTTTATTTAGTTTTATTTCTACCGCTTAGCTCAGTGTGTGGCACTTAGTAGGTGTTCAACAACTATATACACATGATGGCATTTATGTAACTGAGAATCTGCCTGGGGCAGCTGAGACCAATGAATGAACTGGACGAATTATATACAGGTCATGTAAACAAAGCAACCAACCCATCCAGGAAAACCTCTGCATTGGCAATGAGTATGACATTTTGTTAAATAATTATTGTTTCTTAATGACTACTTAGATGCAGACCTTGCGTCTAAGGGTTGGGTGCTGGGCATGCAAACACCAAGTCCCTGGAAACTCGAAAGAACACAATGTATCCTGCGCATTTTAGCAAAACTAACTTTTTGAAACACAAAATAGGGAATGTTTACAACTTTAGGGTTAGTTTTGATTCTCAAATCAAAACAGATGCCTCTGGTCTGTCCTCAAACCACATGCAGGATCTTAAGTCCTGCCTCTCTTTCCTGGAAACCAAATAAACCTCTAAATATGCTGACAGTCATTCATTTTCTACCCTCTCTCATTTTTCTTCCATTTTAGTTTAGAAAAACACAGCACTGTCGTGGACAGACGATTCAGGTTTGCTTGGAATATAAGGAATGAATACTTTCCTTTGGAAAAAAACAAAAATTTAAAAAAGAACCTGTTATCTTTATCTTCTGGGTAGCAAGGAAACTATCCTCCCCACCCCAAGTGCAGGAGTGGTGTGTGTGTGTGTGTGTGTGTGTGTGTGTGTGTGTGTGTGTGTGTCTGTGTTTAAAAATAGGATCTTGGTAAAAGCTGCACATTTTAGGGCTGCAATGCTGGCAGATGACTGGTGCATAAAAATACCAGACTGGTGGGGATCCAGAACTCACACTTGCTGTATGAGCACACAGCCTTTTCAGTGGTTTTTACTCAAAATTATTAGCACAAATTCTCAATCAGGAATGTAGAGGCAGAGCCATCCTATCTAACACTGACATGACCAGACTACAGGTATAGACGTGTTTGCAGATCATGCTTATAAGAGAAAAATGAACAGGAAGCCCCACCCCAGGGTTATCAGCAGTCTGGTTTTTGACAGGGGTCTCTTTTTATTGGAAACTATATCTCAATGTGGACTATTTTTCTTCTGAATATTGGTATTTGGGGTATCATACCTGAAGAGTTGCCCCTCCTGAAGTACCCAAAGCATAATTCCCCGGAATAATCTTACAATAATACCTCCCCATAAAAACACCTTGGCACCATCTCTTGGCCGGGGCCATTAACCTCCTCTTTCCTTGTACTGTTTTCACCCACTTTTTAAAGTTCCCCTTCAAGTCTCATCATCCCTTGTGTGAAGCCTTGCTTATAGTTTGATTCTAGAGCACACCAACTGAACCTTTATTTGAATAATAATCATTTCAATAGCTTCTATTGTCTCTATAGTATAAATAATAAAAGTTCCCATTCTTTGCAAGGTGCACTGTTAATTCTTACCACTCCTGTTGTACAGATGAAGAAACTGAGGCTCAGAGATGTTCCATGACCTGCCCGGAACCACAGATCTTGCATGTGACTAAGTGGGGTGCCAGATTAAGAGACCTGATTCCAAAATCCATACTCTTTCTACAACTCCACATTGCTTTTCATTTAGCATTTCTTAATCCTCAATCTGGTTTCCCTTGATTAAAAAAAACATTCCTTGAAAGGAAGAATTGGGTCTTCTTTATATTTTTTTTAAGTCACCATCACCAGGTGTTTATGAAGCACCTGCCATGTTGTGGCACAGTGATAGCCACTGAAGAGTCAAGAGACATGGGCCATGGTCCCAGCCCTTGAGGACAGGGATAGAACTTGGAGCTCCTATTTGGTGCTCCGAAGTGTCTAAGAGATAAATATATCCTCTGATGGGTTCCTAAGACTTCCTGATTGCACTCCCCAGGAATTTAATAAAGACATTTCTATTTGAATGCTCTTTCAGGTTTCATTACGGAAATACAGAAAATCTGTCTGCAGGGTGTTATCCTGGGTTCTAAAGAGCTCTACAGTGTGATCTGATGCATATTTTGAAAGCCCCCTTATCCAGTTGTCAATGCTATTTTGGTGCAGCTTAGTAGCAAGGCAGACAGTCTGTGGCTACTGAGGAAGATTCATATATCTGTCCTCCTTCTTGATCCTAATCACCTTAAGAAGGCTGCCTGCTGGGCAGAGCAATGGAGTAGGATTTTCCTGTTCGGAGAATGTTCTGGAGGAAACAGGACTCACTAAACTTAAGAGATGGCTCCTGCCAAGAAAGCTCCATGAACTAATGAGAAAAAGTCCAGGTCAGAAGATGTACCAAGCATAACTGTCCAAGAGCATGTTTTCTGCTAAATGACCGACATGCCTCATGGTCACAGCCACTGTACAGACCCTGTCTTGGTAACTAAGCAATTCTTTGGCTCATTCAGCAAATGCTCTGGGGGAAAAACCCAAAAAAACAACAAAACATTATATCCCAACTTGTGGCTATGGGAGTGACAAAAAAAGGAGAAGTAAAAAACAATTTTGAGGAAAACAGTGTGGAATTGCCTTTGTTGGCTCTGATAAATAAAAGAGTTTCATTTCTTTTCAATGTGTCCTCCAGAGAAACACCTACTTGCATTTCTTTAACTAAATATTCTTTTTACTTTCTTTTTTTTTTTTTAGTAACTAGATAATAGTAAATGCTTTATTTTTACTATCTATACCCTCACATCTCAGTTGTGCCATGGCATTAATAAGTTTTTTTTCTTTCTTTTAACAAAGTTCTTCCAGCCACCAAAGGAAGATGCGTGAAGGGAGAATTGGGTCTTATCTTTTCTGCCTCTTTGAGAGGTTGGGTCACCAGAACCTTATCAGCAAGAAAAAGGAATCACTGTCAACGTGAAGAGAAGGCACCTCTGGAAAACATCAGCATTTTAGTTCCTTGTGGTCATGTTTGGAAACCTAAAGTGCATTTTGTATTATCTCATTTTTGACAGCAGCAGCCGAGGCGTGGGGGCATCAAAGGAAGGAAAAGAGGCTCAAGACACCATCTTGCCTCCCCTTCCACTTGCTCCATCCCTTCTCCCTGCACCTGGTGAGATCCCACTCAGAGCAGGCCAAGCTGATCTCTAGGATTTTAGGTTTCAAGGTAGGACTTCGCAGGGCAGCAATTCTTTACATGCAGATTGACTTAGTGTTGCTTGGGTATCCATTGTTTGCTTTTATAGAAATCAGTCCTAATCTACCATCCCTCCATCCATCCATCCACCTATCCACCCTACGATTAATTCATTCAGGAAGTTTTGCTGGGTACCTGTTGAATACCATGAGGGTAGATGCTGATAGAAGATAAATAAAAGATAGTTTACATACAAACATCTAGTTCAAGTGCTGAGACAGAGAAGCCAGACACACTGGCCGTAATGACGGAACAAACATGAAGCATGTCCAACTAAGCTTCCAGGGGATTTGGACAAGACATGAAGGGCATGAAGGAGTCATTTAGGTGGAGAGCAGGGAAAGGGTGCTCCAGGCACACAGACTAGCACAAGGATAATATCAGAACTGGAAAGATGCCCAGTGGATAAAATGGAGGAAATACCTGCATCTTACCAAACAGAGAGGAATAGAAAAAGCCTCTCTCCTTTGGATCTTTCTGTATAATTCTAAAGATCCTAGCCCTTATGTCCTAGCAGAGGTAAAAATTAAAATATAGTCCATCTTCACCAAACCACTCTGGACTCTTTCAGAAGAGAATATTTATTCTCATGATATCGCAGGATACTGAGCCTTCAAAGGTACTTACTAAATGGCTGTTTTAGCTCAGCTCACTAGGAAAAGCCATGGAGGAGTAAGTAACCAAGCAAAAATACCTCTGGAAAACATCAGCCAGTGTGGAGGACCCAGACACAGAACACCCTCCTTCCTTCACTAGCCACCCCACCCCCGCTGTCCCCCTGCGCAGCGCTTGTCGTGACTTAATGGCCTTTCTTAATCACTTACTGTGTTTGCTGCTTTGTCTAGAAACGCAAGGCTCTCCCAATTAAATGAACTCATCACAGATGGATAAAATGACCCGGCAATTTTCCACATTTCCATTGCCCAAATTCCACCATCAACACGCTCCATGATGCATGTTATTTTCCGTGGATGTTTCCTTGGGGGAAGGACTAACAGGCCCTAACTATACTCAGGACTTTTAGCACGTTTTGCCATTCTAGCGGCTGGAGCTGTATTAAATGTAGTGGCAAAGGACAGAAGGACATTATAGTCACTCTACTGGGACCAACTATAGCACAGGGGGTTTCTATGACATCGTCTTTGTTCAGCTCAACCACCTTGAAAGTGGCATCCCAGTTACCATTTTGCAGCTATGAAATCAGATTCTCTGGGAGGTGATGATTCACACCCAGGTTCCACAGCCATGGAGAGGACTTAGCGTGATGCTGGCGCACAGAAAGCACCCACTGAACATTCATTACTGTATGAAAACCGGCAGGATCAAGTCTTGAACTTGAATGTCAAGATCCAAAGCCCATTCTCATTCTAATACGCTGTGTCTCCTCAGGACACCTGAATACTGGGGAAGCCTGAGAGGAGTTATGAAGGAATTCACTTTGAATCCTTCTCCTCCAAGGTCAAGTTCAGGGGCTAAACAACAAGGAGGAAACATGTGGAAGTTCTTCTCTGTGGGAAGGCAGCCATGGTTGCTGCTGAAAGAAGGGTTTGCAGATCAACAGACCCAAGTCTGCCTCCATACTGCAACCAACCAGATGGACATATCTGTCTCATGTGACATTGACAGCGATGTGTTCATGCTGGTTTTTTTTTTTTGTACTGAGGATTGAACCCAGCGGCACTTTACCACTGAGCCACACCCCAGCCCTTTTTATATTTCATTTAGAGACAGGGTCTCTGAAGGGAGGCTGGCTTTGAACTTGTGTTCCTTCTGCCTCAGCCTCCCAAGCCGCTGGGATTACAGGCATGCACCACCATGCCTGGCACATCCATGCTGTTTTCTATAAAAGGATTTGTGTAGTTTGTGACTTTGAATCCTGATACCTACCTGTGCTCTACTTTTTTCTGCAAGTCTGGAGGATGCAGGCAAAAATCTCCTCTTTACTTTAAACTAGCCAAGTGTAGGCCTAATGTTTTATGGAGTTGAGGTGGCAGTACCATTTCAGTTTTCACTTTTACAATAATTTTATGAAACTGTACAAACAAAAGAAACCTCAGTGAATGTGCTGAAGAGAAAGAAGAAAATTTCTTGGCCAGTCCCTGGGTGACTAAGCTTCTTTGGAGATCTTGTGTTTTGCTTTCTTTTTTTCAATAGAGTGTCCCTGTGGGCTGACTCCAGTTTCCACTGAGCCTCTTAAGAGATAAGGTGGGGGGAGGGGAGGAGGAGGGGGTAGCTAAAGATATGTAGATAAAAGCAACAAAGAGGAAAAAAAATCTTTATAACTCAAAGAGGATTATTATCATTATTGAAGAGGGTCAAAAGAAATCATCTTCTCCCTTGTAGGTCCCATAGCTACAAGAAGCTTAGGACACACAGATGGAGCTCAGGAGGTCCTTAAGTTTTATACCTGAAATGCATAAATGTGATACAGTTGGACTTCTGTATCTGTGGGTTCCACATCCCTGAATTCAACCAACTCTGGATTGAAACTAGTTGGAAAAAAACTGCATTTATATTAAACATGTACAGACTTTTTTCTTGTTATTATCCCCTAAACAATTCAGTGCAACAACTTTTCAGCATTTACATCATGTTAGGTATTATAAGTCATTTAAACCAGGTGCGGTGGCGCATGCCTGTAATCGTAGTGGCTGGGGAGGCTGAGGCAGTTTCGAGTTCAAAGCCAGCCTCAGCAACAGGGAGGTACTAAGCAACTCTGTAAGACCCTGTCTCTAAATAAAATACAAAATAGGGCCGAGGATGTGGCTCAGGGGTCGAGTGCCCCTGAGTTCCATTCCCGGTACCACCCCCGCAAAAAAAAAAGTCATCCTGAGAGATTTAAAGGCTATGTGACAATGGGTATAGGTTTATATGCAAATACTATGCCATGTGTACAAGGGACTTCAGCATCCACAGACTCAGATATTCTCATGGATCCTAGATCCAATCCACAGTGGTTACTGAAGGGCTACCGTACTTCATACTTGCAAAGATGAGCTTTTTTCATGCTTAAATTAATGAAGGGAAACTTGCTATTCAGAAGGAAAAAGGAAAGGCTACTTACCTTTATATCCCAAAATGGCTACTGTGATGGTTAGCAAGGCACATAAAATGTATAATAATATGATAGAAAACTTCAGCGCCCAGTTATTTTTACATTTGGTACATTGGGTTCCTTCCTGAATACCTGTAAGAGAAGTCAAATTTTAATAATGGTAGACAGAAATATATTTTGAAACAGTATCACTTTGCATTTTGGTTCAAATACTGTGACTAAGAATGACATTTATATATGCTTTGCTATAATAAGAAAAGTACTTGAAAATTAAACTGCTATGCAATACAAGGACTTTGCACACTGCATTGTGTCGTTATAGTTGTATTTTAATATGACTTTAAAACATCTTTGTTTCCCAGAAGAGTTTCAAAACAAATTCCATTATAATTTCAATAAAGATCCCTGTGTGACAGAAGGTTTTAAACACCCAAATCTTCATTTTAGACATTATTGAACCTATAGCAATTCAACCATAACCAATCCACCAAACCGAAAACATCTGCCTTATCCCCTGGTGTTTGTTTTAATATTGTGCTGGGGCTGGTTCCCACTGGCTTATGAGAGCCAATTTGTAGAATTTTGGTTGTTAAACTGATGGCAGCACAAAATCAACCCCAGAGGAAGTATTTACACCATGGAAATGGGTGCAAACACTGCAAGTTAGCGTACCCCCTTACCCTTAAAAAAACCTGGTTTAATAACATGCCATTTGTTGTAATGTACAATTAAATGCTCAATATAAACCATTTTTTGTACATTACATGCATACAAACAGATTCTGACCCTTCTCTCAGTTATCACAGTCATCTGAATAACGATACGGAAGAAAAATTAAAACCAGACATTTTTTATGAGAGCAGGTAAACTTCTACTGCTGACAGTTCAACTTTCTGAAAAACAGTACAGTCTAAGTGGTAAACCAGCATCCTTGCTGCAAGTGATTCCAGCAACTAACTCATAAAAGGGGAACTTTCCATCTGATTGATTGGAAACACAGAAGACAGAGACTGAGCACATTGTAATGTGAAAATCACATTGTATGGGGGATCACAGCATCAGTAGAGTCCTTGTTTTCCTGTCCTGTTTCCCTGTGTGTGTCTTACAATAGCGTCCCCCAGGAGCAACAGCACATAAAGGACTACTGATCTCTTATAATTGTGCTCATAATTTTTGATGGGTAAGTCATGAGGATTAAGCCATAGTTGAGGTTCCTCTCCTTTGGTTTGTGACTTTACACCGAGTGCCCCTCTTCCGTGAAAAGAGTTCTTCAGCTGTGTTTAATGCAAAATGATGATGGAAACAGCATAGAACAATGACTCGAACTTAGCTCTCAGAGTTCAGCCAATCCCTCTGGTGTTCGGGGCGACAGACACAGGGGAGGGGTACGATCTGTTTCATGACTTAAGGCAGTGCTAACTCAAACTTTGGGGTGCATCGGAATCACATTATCTCACTTGTTAAAACACAGCACTTCTGATTAAGGTGATGTAAAAGGAGCCTGAGAACGTGGATGTCTAACAATTCTCAGGTGGTACCAATGCTGCGATTCTAGGGACCACACTTTAGAACAGGCGTCTCAAACTTCAAATGGCTTCACATATTATGTTGTTGAAATGCATTTTCCAGTTTACTAGGTCTGAGCTGGGAAATAAGATTCTGCATTTCTAACAAGGTTCAGGTGATGCCTGGTCTAATGACCACATTTTTTAAAAAAAATATTTTCATTAGTTATTGATGGATCTTTATTTATTTAATTGCTTATATTCTTATACTGAGAATCAAACCCAGTGCCTCACGCATGCTAGGTAAGTGCTCTACCACTGAGCCACAGCTCCAGCTCCTCCCATTTTGAGGAGCAAGAATCCAGTTCAGATGATGATCATGGTGGATCAACCATTGGTTAGTCAATTTCTTATGAGGGGGGGAATCCAGGGGATTGAACTCAGGGTACTCGGACACTGAACCACACCCCTGGCCCTATTTTGTATTTTATTTAGAGACAGGGTCTGAGTTGCTTAGCGCCTTGCTTTTGCTAAGGCTGTATTTGAACTTGCGATCTCCTGCCTCAGCCTCCAGAGCCCCTGGGATCATAGCTGTGTGCCACTGCACCTGATTGGTTAGTCAATTTCTTGAAGGTGAAGCCACAAAATCAGACTCATTCATTAAACAGACCTAGAAGTCTTCTTCATGTTACAATTTCCCCATATTTTGACTCTTTTTCCTTTCCAACCTACATTTCTCTAATAGCCAACTGCATATCTGATGACCTCAGTACTAGCTCTGCTAAAACAGATCTCCAGCTTACACCCAACTTAAGTATTACTATGATTTCAATCTCTCAGGTGACTGCATGCAAAGGCACTATGACTTCTTTGGTATGTATTCTCTGATTCAGTCATCAGGTCCTGTGGAAAATTTGATTTTTAAAATATTTTTATCTGTGCATTGTAGATACTAGTGGGATTCATGATGCCATATTGGCATGTGTCCATCATTCCTGTGGGATATTTTTGTCACAGTTATCATCTACAGTTTCCTGATGTTCATTGGCTTCCATTATGGTTTGGCTATGAGGTGTCCCCCAAAAGCTCATGTGTGAAACAATGAAAGAAAGCGGAGGTGAAAGATCATGAGCCTTAACCTAATCAGTATATTAGTCCACTGGAAAGGATTAACTGGGCGGTAACCGAAGGCAGGTAGGGTGTGGTTGGATGAGGTAGGTCACTGTGGGCATGCCCTTAGGGTTCATATTTTGTCCTTAATGAGCAGAGAAACCTCTCCTCCCCACCTCCCACCTCTCTCTCTCACACCTTTTTTTACCCCTCTCTCTCTGTGATTCTTGGTGACCATATCTTGACCTGCTTTCCTCCACCACGCTCTTCTGCCATGATGTCCTGCCTCTCCTTGGGCTCAGAGCAATAGAGTTGGCCGTCTATAGACTGAGACCTCTGAAACTGTGAGTCCCCAAATAAACGTTTCCTCCTCTAATTGTTCTTGTCAGGTCTTTCGGTCACAATGGTGAAAGAGCTGAGTAAAGCACCAGGTTCTTTACACACAGCATCTTTAATCCGTAAAGTAACCCAACAAGGTGGCACAGTAATGAGGGCTGAAATGACACCCTATACCCTACATATGTCCCAGCCTTGATTCCAACCAGTGGCAGACTCCAAACACCATGATCACTGCACCAGGCCACGGTCCCTATCTCCAGTGATCCTCTCCATTTCCATTGCCATCATCCAAATGTAAGAAATCTTACTCTCAAGTGGAAGCTTCCTCTTCCATTACCACTGGAATCCAGCCTCACCCTGCTCTAAAATACTGCTGTCCTCATGACATTTACCAAAAAGGAAAAAAAAAAAAAGCAAGCTTTCAACGGCTGGCCCTTAACTAAAGGATGAACACACACACACACACACTCCAGCTCTTATACTCCCTTTAATTCTGGTGCTTTAAAATAACAAAAAAGACCTCTTACATCCCATAAGAATGAAAGCATCTAGAATTGGAAGTAGAGGAAGAATAGGTAGATTTCCACAAATGTGCCTCCTTCCATGTTGAGAAAGAATAAATTTGTTTTGGTGGTAACTGTAACACAGAAGGATGATGGACCAACCTCTTGTAGGAAGACTGAATAACACTTTCATGGTTGACAGGACTTTCATTCTTTTTGTAGTTTAGGACCATGGTGGGTGACATCTCAGAAGATTTGGTCATTGTAGTAGATTGTGGTAGATAATGGAATCTGAGGGCCAGAAGATAGTGTAGAGGTCATCTGGCCCAAGCATTATCACCGTGGAACTGACGGGAACAATGAGGACCCGTGAGGTGAAGCAGGATCAGGAGCCCCGTGTCCTGACTCCGACACAGGAATTCGTTCCTCCGTCCTTCCCTGTGTGCACTGGGTGGCCACTGGGCATCTCGTGCATGTGGCACCCAGGCAGCTCTGCTCCAGAGAGCTGTCACTGGTGCACATTCCTGAGAGCAGGGGCACTTCCTCACAGTGTGCACTTCTACCTCTGACTGCCTCAGATCAATCAATATCAGATGCCACCGCCTGGTCTCACTTTCCACTTGACACAGTTTCTCTGGCTTGTTTTTTTTTTTTTTTTTCTCCCCCGGAGACTTATTTTTAATAAGAACTCTTGTTTTATCTTTCCTTCTCTGCCCTCCCCTGGGAAGACATCTGGCCAAACATACAGATGCCTACTACAAAGAGACCCTGCTGGCTCCCGGAGCTGGGGGACCCCCTCCTCCTTGAACCTAGATGGTCACAAAAAAACATTTGTGAGAGATATCCTCCTGTTACCAGCCTTTGTAGTGTTTGTTTTCTTAGCATTACTTTCCAGAGACTGGGGACTTTGTTCCCATGGGGGTGACGGGGGTGGGGGGAGGCCAGAAGATGGATCTGCACAGTGCTGCAGATAAGAGACTCCAGTTCAGGAAGCAAAGCAATGCTGCCTCTTACCACCACCGAGAGAGATCCAGCTTTTCAAAAGACCTGGCCCAAACAGCACATCTGTGATGCAGAGAGCCACAGGCAGAGAGGTTCCTGGGGGGGAACATGTCTTTTACTGGTTTTCCCTCTTGAACTATCTCCCATTCGGTTCCATTCTTGGCTTGGGCTCTGAATGTGTTTTCCAGTACCCATGTCTTTGTTATTCAAAAACTTTTGGGGGCCCAGTGAAGCCAAAATCACTCTGGTTAGCTCCTGGAATATTCCACGGAAGTTCAGAATAGGCTGACAATTTGGTCTCCAGTGTCCAAACTCCAAGTTCCCTGTGTTGCCCTGTTTCCAATAACACATGTTTCAAGTAAAAAGTATGGGGGTGGGGTGGGGCCCCCATGAGAGGGCGGTTAGCTGGTTGCAGAGAATAATTGAAACGCTCCAGGAATGACAGTGCAAAGGGCCAGAAGAATTCACCAGCAAAGAGAATTCCTTTCTGCTGTGGTTCTCCATAAAGAGCCCTCCCAAGTGCTGTGGTCCAGGCTTCAATCCAGTCTGTTTTTCCAATCTTTTGAGAGAGAGAGAGAGAGAGAGAGAGAGAGAGAGAGAGAGAGAGAGAGATTGCCCCTTCACTATCTCATTTTCCTGCCATGTATATTGCTGAAGATGGATTCATCTAAAT